AATAGTGCTTGGACTCTCAGTGTTGAATGAATAAAGGAATTAAGTGAATATATTATAAAAGGCAAAAAGTTCACAACACTGTTTCTACTTGCAGTGTGCATTGCAGATAATTTCCTTTCTATTCTAATTTCCATTCCAATCCAGAAACTTTTTCTATTCAAATTCTGGTTGTGATCCACTAAACTGATTTCATGCCTACTTGTGGTACCTGATTCGTGGTTTGAAAAACACTGATTTTGTCTGTTTCTTGGTATTCACAAATATAAATAAAAATGTGACTTTTGACTATGTTTCAGTTTTATCCTTAAGAGAGGTGACAAGATCAAAAGTCATGTACTTATTTAAGGTACTTGATACAAATGGCCAAAATTCCAGAAAGGTTCTGTTATACTCCCACCAGCAGTATATCAGAGTGCTGCCACTGCATTTTTTAAAATGCTTTTTCTGCTCTTTTAAAACCTTGGTTACATATAAGAAAACAGACAATTTTTGGGTTGTATGTTTCATGTCCTAATGGGAGAGAATGAGATAAATCTGTACCATAATCTTTACCTCTTCTCATGGCTTGGTGTCTGTATCAAAAGTTCATCAGATTGTCTTTGTTTCATTGCCTTCCTTGTGTGTGTTCTTCACAGATTCAGGAATTGTGGGGCTTCAGCCCATAGACTTTGTCCCCAGTGCTCCCCGACATGCAGTGGACCAGAGGCATGAAGAAATTCCTGTGGTCATTGCTGCATCTGAAGACAGGCTCGGGGGGGCCATTGCAGCCATAAACAGCATTCAGCATAACACTCGCTCCAATGTGATTTTCTACATCGTTACACTCAACGATACAGTGGACCATCTCCGGTGAGCTTGGCTTGCCTGATGATTCTGCTTCTGGAAGATATTCTAGAGCAGTCTAGGTGCCAATCCAGGAACTTTTTTTTTTTAACTAAAACTATACCACATATAAACTGTAAATACATGTTTTTCCACATGATTGTATCATAAGCATGTTCCCATGAGTAGTAGAAAAATAAGGAGCATGTTTCACAAAGTAAAACTCAACTCTGTCACTGTGGAGACTCTTAACTCCAGCTGATGTATTTTTAGTAATTAGACTTTCATGACGAAGGCAGCAGTGTATCAATTCACATCCCGGCCCAAGTTCCTTATCTTATGGATATGTTTTTGAGTGGTTTTTGTTCATGTTCTATTTTATGGTCTAGAATGGGACAATACTTGAGAGGAATGGCAAGGTTGTAAAGTTGTGAACACAGACTCTGATGCAAACCCTAATCTAAAAACTGAGTAATTTGGTAAAAATTACCTAGCCTCTTGGAGCCCACTTACTAATCTATAAATATGGGGTGAGAGAACCCAATTCAGAGGATTTTTGTATCAAATGATATTATACTCACTGCCGTCGATAGCGACCCCTCCTTGGGTTTCCAAGGCAGCATCACTACGAAGTAGATTGCCATACCTTCCTTTCGAGGAGTGGCTGGTGGGTTTGAACCGCCAGCCTTCTGATTAGCAGTCAAATGCCTTAGGCACTATGCCACCAGAGCTTAGTGAATGGTGGTCTTTGCTATTATTACTCAATAGTCAAAACTCAATTTGATGAAAGTCTCATGCATGTGTTGAAAATGCTTTGGATTGAAGTCACAAAGTTTAACTATTCCAAGAAACATTTGTCCTTGTGGCTTTCTCTGTGGTTCATGTTTGGGGAGGTTAGCCGTTTCAGTTTGTGGAAGTTATTATAATTACTTTTCCTTATTTTTTAAAAACTTCGAACGCACCTAATACAGAAATGGAGCTCTGGTGGTTTAGTGGTTAAGACATTTGGTTGCTAATCAGAAGGTTGTCAGTTCAAACCCACCAGGTACTCGTGTGGGAGGAAAGTGAGACAATCTACTTCCCTAAAGATTTACAGCCTTTGAAACTCAGTGGGGGTCACTATGAGTGAGAAACAAATACTGCATTAAAATACTGCTGCAGAAGTAACATTGTATCCACAAAAAGTGTTAATTTGAAATGGACCTAGGAAAAATATGCAGTAATTCTTCATGGAACACTGGCTTACTGAAGTCCCTTAGATTCAGGTGGAGGAACTGCTGAAGGTCGTCGTGGTGAATTAAGAAGTTTTAGTTACCAGCTTTGTTGATAACTGGAGACTCATTTTCTACCCAAGTGTATTTGGAAGGACAAGAGTTGAATGGTGGTGATGGAGCGCTCTCAATTTCCCAGTGAATTTTTCTATAGCAGTTTTAAGTGTCAGAAGAGTGATCATAAGTATGAAGCTGGTGAGAGCAGCATTAATTCCAGAGAATCTTCATTCAGGGAGGGACTTCAGTGGGAACACCCTCACTTTAAATGAGGAAACCAAGGCTAAAAGGTGAGGTGTTTGATGACACTTGTTCCAAGTTTTCTTTGGTCCCTAGAGTTTTCTTTTACAAGTACGCAAACACTGGAAGACACAAAGATAAGCCTATAGTTTTGGCACATTCTTTAAAACTGAAACTTTGTGCTTCCTTCCTCAGGTCCTGGCTCAACAGTGGTTCACTGAAAAACATCAGGTACAAAATTGTGACTTTTGACACTAAACTTTTGGAAGGGAAAGTAAAGGAGGATCCTGACCAGGGGGAATCTGTTAAACCAGTGAGTTCTATGCATCCTTGTTTGTACTTGGGAGAATGCCTGGGAAACTATGGATACAGTTCAGATAGTTCCCTAGGAACCAAGCCTGGGCCATTCTAACTAGGAATCCTCTGGCCATCTTCTCCTGCATGGGTTCTGAGAGCATTCTGGAAGTTTCTGTGTAAATAAAAGCACAGACGTTGGCCTATCCAATTCCTATTTCTTTATTTACAGTTAATCTTCGCAAGATTCTACTTGCCAATTCTGGTTCCCAGTGCGAAGAAAGCCATATATATGGATGATGATGTAATTGTGCAAGGTACCAACCACCACCACCATCTGCACTGTTCTCAATCCAGATCATGAGATATAGTGGTTGTCTCAGTCATGCTGTGGGAGGAACAGGTAATCTTCAGGCAACTGGAATCACACCTTATTTCTTTTCAGGTGATATCCTTGCCCTTTACAATACACCACTAAAGCTGGGACATGCAGCAGCATTTTCAGAAGATTGTGATTCAACCTCTACTAAAGTGGTCATCCGTGGAGCAGGTAACCAGGTAAATTATTTACTAGACCCGCTGCATAGACACCCTACTCACCACAGTAACAGGTGAGATGAGAAATTCAGGACACTTAGTTCTTTATTGTGTTTCACAGTCCCCAGTTACATTATCCCCACAAGCCTGCTTTACTTTGATTCATGGACTTAGCGTAACTCTCCTTGAACATTTGGCTTAACATGTTGAAATCTAGGTTCCTTTTCTCTTAACCTGGAATCCCAAATGTCATTCTCATTTGGTTTACATAGTTGTCAAGAAGCCAAAGGCAATAATAACAACTAGTAGCTTTTTTTCTACACTGGCTATAGAAGTGTAAACTGTTTTGTTTGAAATAGTAAACATACTATACAAAAACAAAAACCAAACTCACTGCCATGGAGTTGATTCCAAATCATAGCGACCCCCTTTGGGTTTCCTAGGTTGTCAATCTTTACAGAAGTAGATTGCTCAGTCTTCCTTCATGGAGTGGCTGATGGGTTTGAACTGCAAACTTTCTGGTTAGCAGTAACATGTCTTAGACACTGTGTCACCAGAGCTCCTCCTAAGCATACTCTATATCTTATTCATGCTTTTAGTACAATTACATTGGATACCTTGACTATAAAAAGGAAAGGATTCGTAAGCTTTCTATGAAAGCCAGTACCTGCTCATTTAATCCTGGAGTTTTTGTTGCAAATCTGACGGAATGGAAACGACAGAATGTAACAAACCAGCTGGAAAAATGGATGAAACTCAATGTAGAGTAAGTACATAACTAGCCTAGGTGTGAAATTTTTCAACCCTCAGCTTTGTCAGGACTGTTGACTAACGGCATATATTGTCTGTCTCACCAAGAGAGGGATTGTATAGCAGAACCCTGGCTGGCAGCATCACAACACCACCTCTGCTGATAGTATTTTATCAACAGCACTCCACTATAGACCCTATGTGGAATGTCCGCCACCTTGGTAAGCAGAAGTCAATGTAACTGTGCCTGAAGGACTAGTTCAGAGATGGGATATACCCATTATTTATGCACAATCTAGTTTGGCATTGTGTTTTATATGACTGATACAATCATTTAAGTTCTTTTCTCTCCATGTAAGGCTCCAGTGCTGGAAAACGATATTCACCTCAGTTTGTAAAGGCTGCCAAATTACTCCATTGGAATGGACACTTTAAGCCATGGGGAAGAACTGCCTCATATATTGAAATTTGGGAAAAATGGTATATTCCAGATCCAACAGGCAAATTCAGCCTAATTCGAAGACATGTGGAGATCTCAAATATAAATTAAAACAGAATTTTAAACTGCAGGCATTTCTCAGGATATCCCAGAAGACCATATGTTTGAGAAGTAACAGTTGCTAGGCTTCAATGCCCGTTTATAGTAGCTCGAGGAGGGATCTCTCAGCTGGACAAAAACTGCCCTGTGCAAGTCTGTTTCCATCTGCCTTACCAAGTGTTTTCTTACAACAGTGCTGAATGAACAAAAGTCAGTGGTCTGATTCACCTGGAAGCTAGTTTAAAACTGGTCTTTGGTTTTAATTTTGTAAATTGTGGCCTGATGATGTAAATAAAGTAAAATCTACATTTTTTTCCAAGATCTGTTTCTTGCTTTGATAACTGCACCTTTCTACAGATGACTCATTCATTGTCTTTCATAATTCAGACACCTTCTACATTTCTAATGAATATACCATATGATACATATTCACAAAATTTACACACCTTACGGCACACTTAGCAAACTGGTATGTTACAACACAATAGCAATCTGCTCAAGATGCTGTGGGAGGAACAGGTAATCCTGCCCTTATAAAGGACAAGGTTTTATTATACATAGTCTATGCTAAAGTCATAAGCATCATCCTCCTCTTGGGTCATTTTATCCAAGACAAAAGATGTCACTCCTTGATTGCCAAACTGTTCGCCTGTATTGGAGAAAAGTAAGTGAGGGGTTTGGTTTTGTTTTGAAAGTAAAAGCTTCTATGTTAGAAAACCACATCTATCCCAGACTCACCTGCTCGAGACTCCTCAGGCAGTGCCTCCCACGTCTCTTCCATAGGACACACGTCTGAGCACTCTTCCTGTACAACAAAGAGAAACGTTGCTGTGTTAATATTAATAAATTTTGTTGTCTGCTTAAACCAGGTCATTATGTACCCGGAAAAAGTTCAATCTTTGACATTGCATTTAATGGACTAAGTAAAGATGTGCAATCCACATTTGGGCTCCATCTTTTTGGTGTAGACCTTTTCTCTGAGTAAGCCAAGTGAAAAATTCCAGAGGATTCTTATAGTCTGGGACAGTATAAGGCTTCTAGTCTATTTAAAAAAAAAAAAAAAAAATTTATTTCCACATTTGGAAAACTCATTGAGGACACACTTACACCAGCTTCTTCACCATCAATACTTTCCTGGTCACTGTCAATGTCCTGCTTCCACTCTTTCTGTGTTGGCAATTCCTCAGATATGTCCTTTTCCTCTATGATCGCATTCGTCAGACCTGAAGACTGGAAAAGGATGCTACTGGCTAGATGAGAGCCCCTGATGGCTAAGAAAGGAACACAGCCAAGTAAAGAGATGAGACCTTTATTGCCTTGTTAGCCAATAGCAACAGTAATGAAACAAGTCTCACTCACCTTGTATGCTATGTGTATTGTTCTTCTCCAGTTCTTCCATATTAAAGCCCAGTTTCATATGTGCCACTACATTCTCATTAAAATGTGGAGAGTAAGTCCAGGATGTTGGGGGCTGGCAATAGTAGCCTAAGGTGGCACTAGTATTAAAAACATTTGTCACAAAGCAGTTTCTTTATTCTATGTGAGCATCAAAGCTGCAAAAAAAAGAAGCCTTACCCTGTCCACTCAGACCACAGCAGCTTGGCAGCACATTCCACATTTGGGCTTCCACCTTTTTTGTGCATTCCTCTTCTCTGAGCAAGCAAAGTAAAGAATTCCAGAGGATTCTTATAGTGCGGGACAGTAAATTTCAATACTACCTTTAAAAAGAAAACCAGAGACTGTCAATCATCTGCTTTAGGCCTGATGTTTTTTAAAAGACAAGACACCCTACATTTATGGTCAACTAATTTTTGACAAGGGTGCCAAGATCATTCAATGGGGGAATGAAGTGTCTCCAACAAATGTTCTGGGAACAATTCGATCTCCACATGCAAAAGGGGCAAGAGAACACCTTGCTTGTATCATACACAAATTAACTCACTATATCACAGACTAAAGGGAAGGGCTAAAACTAGAAACTACTAAGAGAGAGAAACAGGCATAAATCTTGATTTGGATTAGTCAATGATTCCTTAGATAATTACACCAAAAGCTTAAGTGACAAAAGGAAAAAAGTAAACAACTCATCAAGATGAAAATCTTACACATCAGAGGATACTATCGAAGTGAAGACAACTCAGGGAATGAGATAAACTATTTAAAAATTGTATCTGACAACTAACTTGTATCTAGAATATATAAACTCAACAAAATGGACTAGCTTGAATAGCCATGTGTCTGAAGAAGATATACAAACAACCAATAAACATTTGAAAAGATGCTCTCGACATCATTAGCCATTAGGGAAATGTAAACCAAAACTACGGTGGTACTACTTCACATCTGATAAAGTAGAATTCAGATATCCATCAACTGATGATAAACAAACATGGTATATACATAATGGATTGTTATCCAAGTATAAAAAGTAGTATACTTATAACGTGCTAGAAGATGGATGAACCTTAAAAACATGTTAAAGAAATCAGTCACAAGGGACCACATAAGTATATGATTTCATTCATATGATCTATTTAATAAGACAGAAAAATCTGTAGAGAGAAAGCAGATTAGTGGTTGCCAGGAGATAGAGGGTAAGTAAAGGTGTTCTTTTTGCTGTGATGATGGTTGTGCAAAAAATACAGAACATGAGAAACAAACAGCAACAACCTTGAATTTTTGTGTTTACAATGAAATTAAAGCAGAACCAAACATCTTGAACTTTAAGAGAGCTAAGCACCGAACCTCAAAATTACATTCTGGAACCACTTTTTTTGTCAAGAAGTCTTTTGAAAATTACGTTCGAAGAGAAAATGGCAGTAAGAAGCCTGAAGACAAAGGTTCCTTCACCTGTCGAGCATCAGCCTGGGACAAGATGGCACTGGCAGCCTCCATTGGTTTTACCACTTCAATACTTGCTGGACTTCTCATAGCAAGTGCAGTGGCCGAGTTAAGAGGAGACACAATGAAGCTCGGACTGTCTATGATTGTCATTTGTTTTTCCAGGGGGACAACCTGCATGTTCCTAGAAGGAAACAGATTGTATTCAAAGGGGGCACTGGTTTATTTAGAGCACAAGAGGCAGAACACGAAGCTCAGGGTTGGATTGAACAAACTCAGCACAGTTAGTCAGATCCAGTTTCTCATCATTTGCTTCATGTTTGTCTGAAACGCTGACAGTATACCCACCCTTTCTAAAGAGAAACACACGCCACATTATAGCTTACACATCAATTCAACACATGTTGTACCTCTGCCACACTTATTTTTCCCTCTCCCACCTGGTAGACTTCTATCCATTTCTCAAGACCTGGTTCAAATATCAATTCCTCTGAGGCAGCAGTTTCTCTCTCTGAATCTGTCTTTTAAACGAGATTATGGACAGCTGTCCCACTCTAACTAGTTCTTTCCCAAGTCTAGCTCAGGCCTAGCCCTCTACCTTTCACTGGCAGCTTTAAGAAGAAAACTGTCTTCCTCAAGATAACCAAAATTAAGTTATGTATACCCATCTGTAATAAAATACTGCAGTTATGGAACAGCTCAACTTACCTTGTAAGCCCCATGGATACCCCAACGCTGCATATTCGTTCTTGTTTTAAGCTGTTAATAATGCTGCTTTTACCTACATTTGGGAAACCTACAAATGGAGAATTCAGACACAAATGGTATTATGGTCTGATCATTATAAAATTTCTACTTTATTTTATGCTTGATGCTTGCAGCAATATTATTTGAATCTGATTATTTTCATTTCAACACTAAGACCAATCGTAACTACTAATTTTCTTGCTCAAGTAACAGAAGGGCAAGATGAGACTGTTCAAATAAGCCAAAAGGTTTCAGAAGCCAACAATGCCCAATTACAACAAAGAACTGATCAGGCAGCAATTACTTGCTTTTTCCTTTAAATTGGGTGTGTGTGTTTGATGAAAGGGGAAAGAAGCTAATGTTTGAGCCCCTTTTTTGGCAATGACCCTGCCATTTTTTTCTTAATACATTTTATTGAAATGTAATTTATGTACAGTGAAATACACAAGATCCTACATTTTTTTTTTTTTTTTTTT